CAGCCCTTTTTATATTTTATTTTGAGACAGAGTCTCACTGAGTTGCCAAGTGCCTCACTAAGTTGCTGAGGCTGGATTTGAACTTGCAATCCTCCTCCCTCGGCCTCCCGAGCCCCTGGGATTACAGGTGTGCCCACTCACTGTACCCATCCCATTATAGCTTCTACAATGAAATGTTTGGGTTTCTGTGTTGCACCTCTGTCCATTTGATAGAGAGTACCAGTGACTTCACTAGGCACAGGAGGAAGGTTTAGGATGAATAGCAGGGTGTGAGGGGCAGGAGAAGCAAAGGTAAGGTGTCTCTGGAGGTGGAGAATACTGAAAATGCTTTTTTGAGCATGTCAATTTTGAAGCAAGTAGCTCTGACTCCAGAAAAAAAAAAAAAGTAGAGTGGTTCTTTTGTTTGTTTATTTTGTTTGGTTTTTCTCTTCTAGGAAAGGAAAAGGACATGATATTCACAATAGTTATTCTTCCTCAGTTTTTTAAGCATTATCTAAACTATCCAAATTCTCTATATAAGGAACTGTCTTACCTGCTGGGCTGTTTGGGCATGTTCTATGCAGTATCTAAAGATCAGATCTCCGAAACTAGTAATTTCCAAAATATTTCTTCCAAGGATGTCTAAACTAAATGGCAGGAATTTTCTTGAGTGTGTACCCTCAAGGACCAGAATTTCTCTCAAGATGTTGATTTCTCCTAGCCATTGCAGTCATTGTGCCTTATTTCACTATTACAGCCAGGCCCACTCCATCTCCACACTACTCTCAGAGATACATTCACTTGGTGCTCCTTTTTTCTAGAAATATTGGGGTGGGAAAGGATAAGGTTACAACTGAATAATGTAAGCCAGGCAAATCTAGTATGGATTGGGTTCCTTCACTGACTATTAGCACCTCTTTGGAAGGCTTCCTAAACCCTTGTTGTCTCAATTTCCTCATTTGTAAACTAGAGATGAACAGAACCTTAGTGAAACAGATAATCCATTTGTTAAAAAACTCTTCCAGAGCAGGAAAAAAAAAAAAAAGACAAAACCTCCCAATCTATTCCATGAGGCTAGCACAACTTGGCTCTAAAAATCCACAAAGAGAGCAAAAGAAAATTGCAGTCCAGTCTTACTTATGAAAATAGATGAATAGGCACACGCCTGTAATCCCAGCGGCTCAGGAGGCTGAGATAAGGAGGATGGTGAGTTCAAAGCCAGCCGCAGCAAAAAGTGAAGCACTAAACAACTCAGTATAGACCCTGTCTCTAAATAAAATTTTACAAAAAAATAGGGCTGGGGATGTAGCTCAGTGATGGAGTACCCCTGAGTTCAATCCCCAGTACTGCCCTCAAAAAAAAAAAAAAGATGAATAATCCAAAATAAAATATTATCAAATCAAAACTAATGATATTGGGCTGGGCATGTGGCTCAGTGGTAGAATGCTTGTCTAGCACATGCAAGACCCCAGTTCAATCCCCAGGACCATTTTTTTAAAAAAAAGTTTAAAATAAATACCAATCTTAGGAATGTAGGATAGTTTTGAACCATTACAAAGAGATCATGGTTAGACAGAGGATTGGATACATACAACTGACTTCATTCCCTCCTGAAACCCCACTGAACTAAGTGAAAAAATAAGACAAAAAGGAGAGGGAGAAAACCTCCATGGACAAGAGATATCAACATTACTTAAAAGGTGAAACTGATGAATGAAGAGCACTGACTCAGCAGAATTGAGCAAATGATTCTCTAAATGTCTTTGGAGGGAATGTCAATGACCAGTAGGGGAGTGGCTCCCCAGAATTCCCGAAAGGCTCAGGGGTGGAGTCACCAGGTTCTTAGATGAGGGCCTAGTGGAATGAGAGCAATGAAGTTTGTTGAAAGCTGTGAATGGAGAGGCTGCACCTTTAAGTCCCCTTTCACATCCCAGCAGGAGACAACAGGCTTGCTTTTATGGGATCATTGAACCGAGGGAGCTCCAACTCTGGTGTACCTGTGGAGGACTAAGGAGTTACCCATTTCCCTGGGTAGGAAGGGAGAATAGAAAGAAGTTAATCAATCATATTTACTGAGTGTATTAGCTTTCAATTATGATCATGAATACCTGAGACAGTCAACTTATAAAGACAAGAGGTTTATTTTACCTCATAGTTTTAGAGGTTTCAGTTCACGATAATTTGGCCCTGTTGCTTTGGTGCCTGTAGTAAGGCAGCACATCATGGTGGGAGCATGTGGCAAAGCAAGCCTGCTCATCTTATGAGCACGAAGAGAAAGAAAGAAAGAAAGAGGAAGGAATGGGGTCCCACTAGCTCCTTAAAAGGCATGCCTCACTGATGACCTGAAGACCTCCCACTAGGCCCCACCTCTTAAAGGTTCCACGACCTCCTAATAATACCACACGGGGAACCAAACCTTTAACACACAGGGACACTTAAGATCTAAACTGTAAAACTGAGTGTCTGGTGTGCTGAGCACAGACCATGTGTCCTGCTCAGTTCTAAGGGTTCCATATGGATGAATTCATTTTGTCTTCAAAACAACCCACCAGGCAGGAAGAAAAAAGTATTAAAGTAACCAAGACAGTTTTTTAGAACAACAAAGTAATGAGATTTACCCTACCAGGTATTAAGACATATTAGAAAGCTATGATAATTTTTAAAATACAGTCTGAGTGTTGGAATAGATAGGTTAGATTATTATTTTCTATTTATAATAAAATGAAAAGTTACATTAATTCATTGGACAGATTAATTAATGTTAGAATAGGCATGTTTGATCCGAAGAATATAGAAACTCACTCTTACATAGAGCGTGATATGATAAAAATGACATTTCAAACCAGTAGGGAAAATAGTAAACAATTCAGTAAATGATATTGAGATAATTAACTATATCCACTCTCAGAAGATATAAGTTTCAGATGGGTTAATAACAACAAATCTAATACTTAGAACATATTAGAAAGAGACTATGGAAGGCCTTTGTAAATAAGACTTTCTTGATGACATACTAACTGTATAACTTTGAACACATTATTTAGCTTTCTGATATCTAGTTTTTGTTTTTAACAAACTAAAAAAAATGAAAAATAAAAACCAGTTGATTGGAGATACATAGTCAATAGAATGTAAATGAAAACAGTAGAATTATTGTGAAATTTACTCTGATCTGGCAGAGTAAGTCTCATGGTTACATTAAACTTTGTGGTTTAGTACTTGTATCCAGTTCTGTATACCCCAGTCCCCTGGAGGTATTGAAATTTTATTTTTTCCTGCTGCTAGTAACAACATAGTTTGGTCTAATATGCAGATATTCCTCCCACGCACGTTAAGTCCTGTATCTCAGCTGCTCTAGAATTAATAAAGCAATGTTTTTCTTTGACATTTTTGACAAGTTCTTAACCACTGTTTGACTGCTTGCTTGTGGATATAAGATCATATTCACCTGTTCAAAAACAGCCAAGGATCAGTGAATCTTGGATATTCTGTGACTTTTCTCCCTTTCAGATCAGTTCCCGTAAGAAGATGATTGGTTTTAATCTAATTTAGTGGGCCCCCTTCGGGATGCGCTACTAGGTGATGTAGGATAAGCATTCGCTCCAGTCCTCTGCAGTAAGGAGAAATGCTTTACCATGTAGAAGTAAAAAAAACTTTTAAGGTCTTTCCCCCCACCCTTTTGATCAGAAGGGTAAAAAGATAAAAGTTGCTTCATTGTCAAAACTGTCAAATTAGTGGTTTGGCTATATCTTCTCTTCCCAGATGACCAATAGCCTGACAAAGTAACTGTACCTCTAGATTCTATGATTCTTAGTTGCAAGGGACAGAATCTAATTTGAACCAATCCAGGAAAATTCCTAAGGGAAGTGGCTGGAAAGGAAAAGTTTGAGTAGAGCCTGGGGCATAGCTGGTTGGCCTGCATAGGTGGCCCTAACAGAACCGTGTGGAATGGACTCCTCTGGAAAGAGGGAAGGCCTCCTTGCCAGGACTAGGGAGGATAAGGCTGAACTGGCAAAAGGAACAACTGTTTACACCAATAACCAAAGAAGTTTCCTGGATCAGCGCGATGCACATATGGTGCCTATATTGTCTTTGCCCGGAGGCTGTTGTTGGGATGGAGGAATTGCAACATCACCACATTCTTGCTTGGTCATGAGGCAGACTGCCTGAGTCTATCTGCTTCAGTTCCTTTCACGTGTGTCTATATCGAGGCAGAAGACAAGTTACCACTTCTGTTTCCTGTTTTGTCTCTGTTCTGTTGTGATCTTCACTATATAATAATCCATTTTTGTTTGTTTTAAGAGGTTTTATTAGGGAAGGATAATGTACTATACATAAACATTGTGAAAGCAAATAATCATAAATCCTAAGAGGATTTGAATTAAAAAGTCTTCTAAGTATGGTTCTGGGTTTTATGTTCCCGGAACTGCAGAAATTTCCTGAGGCTTAGTCATTTATTCAGAAGGTCTAAGTGCAGTACTTCTCGGCTCCACAGCCTGTTAGAATTGCCCTTGACATCAAATCAGGGGCTGGATCTCCAAGGGCAAGGAGTAGAGGAGGCCTCCGTCTCTCAGGGAACCAGAATCTGATTGGTTTCTACCGCAGGGCCATAACTAGGGCTTGTTAACCATTGCTTTACCACTCCTAGGGCTTCCCCAGCCCCCTCCACCTCAGTAAAGTCCAAGAGTCTGACTGTTTTCTCCAATTCTGTCTGCCTCAGGACAGGTTCCAACACCTTTTATTACGTTTTACTTCAAAATTTGGTTTATTTTTTCCCTCTGTGCTCTCCATCCCCCTCCACGCTCAGTCTCTGGCTGCCAGTCATTAGAGGCTTTGTCTCAAGCACAGTGCAGGAGAGTGGCTCTTGGTAACCATAGGCAACCATGAGTCTGTGCTAGCTATTTGCGCTGTATTTGTAAGAAGCAATCTAGTCACTGGGTACATGGGAAATATGCTTTAAAGGTTTTTTGGGGTTTTTTTTTTGCAATAAAATATTATCATCATCTTCTTTTTTTCTGTAGAATGATCAATCCATGGGCGAGATGCAGATAATTGGAGGCGAGGATCTTTCAACATTGGCTGGAAAGGTTTGTTAATGTAACTCTGCTCAGTACACATTGATGTCTGGGGATATCAGTGACCTTCATTTCAGGTTAGCACTTGCAATACATTTCAGATACTCTCCTGGGTTTCCTAATTCATGCAAATAGATGTGTGAATCCTTTTAATGACTTCTTCCTTCTAAAACATGTTTTTTAGAAGGTTTCCAGGACACAAGGCAGACCTAATCCTTCTCCAAGCTTCCAATTCCAGTCTTATTTCAGACAACAAAAATCCTGGCCCTCCTTGCTCTGTTCTTGCTTGTCCTTTCAGGCATCTTCTTTCTGAAAAGGAAGGTTTCTGAATATTTGTCTGCTTTTTATCTCTACTCTATGCCTCAACACCTAGGCACTACATAGTAAAACATTTAAACAAGTTTGTTGAAATGTGCAAAATTGAGGGAGAAAAGAAAAAAGAACTTGAGAACACAAATTTTAGGTCTTTGCCTTTTTTTTTCTCCTAATAGTATAAAGTAATCTATTAGATTATGGGGGAAAAAAAAAACCACTTCCAATTTTAACTTGGAGTTCCAAAGCTGCTAATACCTAATTATGAAGTGAAAAGACTATTTGGATTCTGACATAAATACTTAAATTGGAAGGAAGAGTTGTTTCATAAAGCAGATGATCTTTGTGAAATGTGATTTGAAATGCAAATTTACTGTGAATGAAAGCCACTACCAAAGCAGAATTTGTTTTTGTTCACCTGTACTGACCTATCTTGTATTCATTATCCCTGAACACATTCAGCTTTCTAAGTCAAATGGATCAGTCTATTACACAAGCTTAATCTCTCATACTTGTGGTTGTTATTGTTACACAATCTCCAGATGGGAAACAAAGAGTAGCAACCACATTTAATAAAAAATATGTATCATAATGGGAATGCCACAGAACCACAAAGATTCTGACTGCAAAACAGCCTGCTTCCCCTTACTCAGGAGACAACATTGGCAGCTCCAAGTATTAAATTGTCATCTAATAGTAAATTTTGTTCCATAGCAATTGGAGTTAACTTGATAATGTTAATGTATTGCCAGACCATCATTTGATGTTACTATAATATCCTAGAAAGCTAAAATACTCCAAGCAATTTCCAGAAATTCATAACCTTATACAATATTGGAGTGTGGTCTTTAAATGGTAAGTCACTTTAGTACTTTGTTGTGTGACATTACCTTACAGGTTTATTACACAAGGGAAATATCTTGCCTTGTGCTTTTGCTATGAGGTCTGTCCCCAGTAAATGCCAAGAAAAAATATTGCACATAGAATTGTGCCCCCTCCTCCCTTTTTAAAGTGATTTTCCTCCTGAGCACTGGATATTCCCTTTAAGAGATGGGGTTGGGGGATGGATGGAGGAAAGGATAGCTTCTTCCTAGGGATGGAGTGAGCAGAAGGGGTGACAGCTCTGTGCTTTGTAATTTCCTCCTGTGAATACTGCAAAGACCCCTGTGGGAAAGCAGAGATTGTGAATGTTCAGGGAGAAGAGTTGGAAAACCAGGAAGCTACTTTAATTTTCTGCTGACATGACAAATTATTTCTTCCAGGTTCCTGGGTACCATTGAGCTGTACCTTTACACTCTCTGTGTATGGATAGGTGCACATCTATATATGTTTAAATATGTGCCAAATAGAACTCCTTGGGCTTAGAATGCACCAGGTAAATATTTCTAAGATGAATCAACACTGATTAGCCAGGTTCTCAACTGTCCCAGCAACTCGAGTTTAGTGACTCTAAGTTCCGGGTGCCCAGCTCCCATCAGAGGGGAATGCTAGATGAGCCATGCAGGCCACACCATATGCTTTCAAATATATTGAATCTGTCCACTCCTCTCATCTCCCTGGCTGTCACCCAAGTCTTGACCCATGCTACTCAAAGTTCAGGTTAGAGATCAGCAAATTTTTTCTGTAAAGGACCAGATAGTAAATATTTTCACCATTTTCTCTTAAAATTGCTCAGCTCTGCTGTTATAGTATAAAGCAGCCATCTAGACACTATGGAAACAAATGGATGTGTCTGTATTCCAATAAAACTTTAATTACAAAAACAGGCAGCAAGGCCAGATTTGGCCCACAGGCTATAGTTTGCTGACTGTTAGTCTGAGAACCAGCAGGTTAGAGCCATGTCAGAACTTATTAGAAATGCAGAATCTCAGATCCCACTCCAGATCTGCTGAATTAAAGTTTTCATTTGAACCAGATCCCCAGATGATTCCTTTCTACATCAAGGTTTGAGAGGCACTGATGTTCCACGGTGAGGCCGCCTCTCTCCTTCTTCTCAGATGCTCTACGGCAACTAGGGTCCCTGAACTTCTACCTTCACTTAACTTTCACTACCCTCCAGACTATTCTCCCAGAAGCATCCAAAGGGATCTTTTCAAAATGCAAATTGATTCCATCACTTGCCAACTGAAAACCATTCAGTGGCCTCTTAATTAGGGTTGTCAGACTCAGTGAAAACAAAACAAAAGATGCCTAGTTAAATCTGAATTTTAAATAATGAACAAAGGTTTAGTAAAAGATACCCCATGCATATTTAGCTTAAGTATGTCCCATGCAATATCTGGTACATACTTATACTAAAAAAATTTGTTATTGTTTACCTAAAATTCAGAGGTAGCTGGGTATTCTCTGTTTTTACTTGGCAACCCTATTCCCAGTGCTTCTGCAAATATGATCCAAATTCCTTACCGTAGCCTGTGTGATCTGGCCCTGACTCTCCACAGCACATCTTTGTGCATCACTGAACCCCTCCTCGCAGCACTGACTAAACTCCTTCCTGCCAAGACGTTGGACAATCTGTGGCTTCTCTCTGGTCTCTGTTTTCTTCCTGCCTTTCAGATCTCAGCCTAAATATCTTCTTCAATACTGGAGGCCTTCCCTAATTTGTTGTTTAAAATGAGTCCAGAATCTCACCCTCTATACTCTTCCCAGCCCTGGTTAATCTCTCTAGGTGGACACTGTTTTCATACAACCATTTCTGTTACAGGGGAGGTCTCCAGAACCAAAGTGACCACAGAGATCCACAGTGACCATTTCTTGTGATCCCAATGGAAAGACTTGAGTCACTCAGAGTAACAGGACAGAGTTTATTTAGTAAGAATGAGGATAAGGATGCTCAGGAGAGGCCCTGAGCAGACCATCTCTGTAGAGAACAGTATAGCTCTTACAGAATCTGGGCTTTCTACGGGATTTGGGTTCCTTTGTTCTTGCCTTAACCATGTGAAGGCTTATTACCCTTGGTATAGCCCTTAGCAAATTTTCTTTGTGAGGGTCACGATGACCTGGTCACAAGAAACAGTTGTGACATGGTTTTGAAACAGTAATTCCATTAAGGGCTTATAATTAACTATGGCTAAAAGACATACCAATTTTGACATACCAATTCTCAGTTTTCCTGATGCTTGTCCGCTTTGATAAAGTTTTCTGTTACCCCAGTCCTGTGACTTATGGACTCTCTTTGATGTACGTTTGATGTCCTCCCTATAAATTATCTGTCTTCATTATCCTCTCCTCCCACCCACTTATGACTTTCTACCTTATATTTCCACAATCTGTAGTATTTGCTTGGGGCTTTTATTTTCCTCTCTCCCCATTGGAAAGTCACCGTGAAGTGGACAGGCACCTTGTCTATCGTAGTCACCATCTTCTCTCCAGCATCTCGCAGGGCCAAGTCCAGAACAGTTTGGAATAAATATTTGGTGAATAATGAATGAATGATCCTCTCACACAAAAATTGAGAAGACGTTTTCAATTAATTTCAGGGAAAAGGACGTGGCAGGAGCAAATTATAAATTTTAGCCAAATTGGCAAGTTTACTTTTGGTAAGTGATGGAATCCAGTTTGTATTTTTAAAAGATCTCTGTGGCTGCTTCCTGGAGAATGGTTTGGAGGGTAGTGAAAGTTAAGGGAAGGTAGAAGTCAGGCCTTTCACTTGAACAGATAAAGGCATTCATGTGACCCGCCCGTTCAGCCATTCTTCAGCCAGCTCCTGAAAAGTTGTCCATTTAGAGTTGGAGAAAATTTTTAAAAAGAACTTGAGGAGGCCTTCTAGAATAGAAGAATAGAATCTTCCTATCATGAAGAATACATACTTGCTACAAAAAAATATCCAAAGGAAAAGGTGCTCAACAGTTATTAGGTCTTTGTTTTAAAGGAAAGTCTGAAACTTCCATAAATATCTGCACAGGATGGAAGGGTTGTTATAGGCCATCATCTCGCCTCCCCCTTCTCATGTGGTCCTCATACGATTTTTCAGTCAACAAACTTACATTGAAGTTACCTTTATGATTGTTATGACGCTGCCAGCAACTTGTACACATCTTCTCTCATTTAATTTTCAGCACCCAGAGAAAAGTTCCAATATTCTTTCCTTGGTTTTAAAGAAATCCAAAGAAGGAAGAATTCCTTGGGATTTCAATAGTCTTAGAGGAGAGTGTATTTTTTACTTGGGACCAGAAGGTCTGGAAAGAACGCAGAAGTGGGAGGAAAAGTGGAGTGGAATGGGGAAAGATGGAGAGCTAGACAGGAGAGGACTGGCGTGACTGCAGGAAATTAGAAACAAGGAAATGATAAGAAAACGATTGAAAATGTATGTTGGATTTGGTGTGTAGATACGTTGAGTTTGCTTAGAAAAGCAAAGAGACGTCACAAAGCACTTGAGCCGAGGTGACATCTTGGAGCTGTGTTTGAGAAGCCACGCGACAGAAGGGAAGAATGAAAGTCGAGAAGGGAGAGGAAGCTGTCCTCTGGCGGTGCTGGTCCTGGTGGCCTGAGCAGGTGCATTAGATGAGCACTGGGGTGAAAGAGGAGGAGGAGGAGCACCAAAAACAAAGTGAGATAGAAAGGATTTTTTTTTTTTACATGAAATTTGTTTCTGAAAGAACTTTGTAGAATGTGGGGAAACAACTCACCTGCATCATTTTGCCATGCTCACAGTTAGCTGAATCACCAGCCCCATAACTTTACTATGTCAATTCTGGAACTCTCTAAAGATAAAGGAGTTAAAATATTTAGATAAAGGAGTCTCTAGACAGCCCCCGAGTACTTTTCTCTCTCTCCCTCTTCTTTTCTTCTTTTCTCCTTTTGCTTTCAAGAGAAGCTGGCTGAGTCATGGTTCTAAATAGGTCATTGCTGTTGAATAGAGGGAGCCTTAACAATTCAGTTAAATGGCCTCTTCAGCTCACAATGTTAAAAGCATTTTACTTGGTGTGTTTTGAGCTGTCTGCACCACCGTGCTCTCTGGCTGATTTTTTTTTTTTTTCAAAGTTGATTTAATCCTGGCACTTCATAAAATGTGTGTATCCATTAAAGCAAGGTTTTATTCATGTTCAAGAGAAATCTCTGAAAGGGTGGAATAAAACCAAATGCATGGAAACAGACCCCTGTCTGGCAACGAGGAGACATAGATGTGCAGGTTGAGTGCAAGATTTCAGGAGACATGCTCCCCCCACACACACACCACCCCCAAAGGAGTTTCTCATCAAGTGCCAGAATGAAGCATCGGAACTTGCCAAAATCTCCCCCTTGGCTGCCTGAACTGTTTAAATCATTCCTTTTTATTGGATCTGACTAGGCTGAGAACAATAATGGAAATGCCCACTGACTGATGGTTCTGGCGATTTTGTGAATTATCACATAAAATGAAATGCTGGACTACATTCCTATCTCCGTGGGGTTTATAGTTACTCTCCTACTCATGCTCAGCATCGCCTGTACAGCTCACCTTCAAGACTCCATGGCCTTCTGAAAAGAATGACCACATCCGCAAAACTGCATTGCTATAGATTAGACAGTGTGGTTTACTAATCTTTTTGTTTTAAAAAATTAAAAATAGGAATTACTTGTTTAAGAAAATCATTTAGATTTTTCTAATTCTCTCCTCTTGCGTTCTTATTCTCTAGGGAACTCAATGTGACTAGCCTTGATCAGACTCATGTAATAGCAAAGAAAGAACACACTCTAGAGAGTCCCCACAGGATTTTGCCTACAGCCCCCAGGCTGAAGATTTTACTGGCTTTCTGGGAGGAAATGAGCTAGGTGTGATGAGATGACTAAGACAGTAACTGGCAAACATCTCAGATTCAGTGATCAGAGTTATCAGATTGGAAGTGTTTCCAAAGCACAATGTGTTCAGAAAAAAATTCCCGAGGTTGCCCACTCAAAAAATGGGTATTTTAAAAAACTGCTTAGTCCAAAATTAAAAGCTGTAGACATTAACTATAGTTTGATTAAGGTAGAATTTGAGATCCATTAAGGAAATATGGAAGCAATCTGACAAAAGTAGAATGAACTAGACAAAGTAAAAGAAATGTGAGCAAAATTGTTAATTGATTTCACAGGCAGTTCTTGAGCAACTACCATATGCCAGTCTCCATGTATTGGTCCCTGGGCTCTTGGATCTCTTCTTGGTACATTAAAATGTAAAGACATTAGGTCCTTTAGACACTGGTGAAAATTTTTTGTAAGTTAGAATAGTTAAATCTTCTCTACTCTTGGACCTTCATGTGACATCATCCCATGGGGGAAAGCAGAAGGGCAAGAGTAAAAAAGAAAAAGGGGCTTTAGAAAGTGATATAATATATAAAATATATGTACAATTATAAAAAAAAACAATTTAAACTTTCTAGAATACATAAAAAAATGCATAAATTTTGAAAACTTGCTTTCATAATAACCCAGTCTCAGAACACTTAACCCCCTCCTGCAAAAATGACAAAAATCCATTCTTGAGGGCAGAGCACTCATGACCTAATCACCTTTTATTAGGCCCTAACTTCTAACATCCTTGCACTGGAGATTGTTTCCTGCACAAGCACTGAGGGGACACATTGAAACCATAGCAAGATTTGATGCATGGTCTTAGATTGAACAAATTAGTCACAAAGGCCATTTTAAGAACAAGTAGAAAATTTGAATATATAATTGGCTTTATATGATATCAAAGAATTATTTTTGTTAGATTAATAATACTGTAGATATAGACATGCATAATAGAAAATGTCATAACTTTAATTAATTTTAAAATAATACCTAAACATTTTTCATTCATTAAACAGTTAAATATACATCAAAAATTTGGAAAATCTTAGGGCTAGGGGATAGCTGAATGGTAGAGTGCTTGTCTAGCTTGCATGAGACCCTGAGCTCTAGTCCCAACATCACAAATACATACATAAAAATTAGAAAATCTGTATATTTTCTGTTTTCAAAATTTATGCAATTTTATTTGTATTCTAGAAAGTATAAATTGTTTTTTATAAGGGTATAAATATAATATATAAATACATATATTCTATATATTATATCACTTTCTATAATTTAAAAATGAATATTTATTTATACTTAAACCCTTTTTTAAGAACAGCAACCTAAGAATTTAAAAAATTATACATTTATACACACATGCGCACACACACACAAAACTTTTGTGGGATGGGTACGAGGGATTGAAGCTGGGGCACTCTATCACTGAGCTACATCCCCAGCCTTGTTTATTTTTTATTTCAAGACAGGGTTTTGCCAAGTTGCTGAGGTTAGCCTCAAACTTGTAATGTAATTGGCTTTAAAAGATATCAAAGAATTATTTTTGTTAGATTAATAATACTGTAGATATAGATATGCATAATAGAAAATGTCATAACTTTAATTTTAAAATAATACCTAAACATTTTTCATTCATTGAACAGTTAAAATACATCAAAAATTGTATTTTTGTCTCAGCCTCCCAAGTAGCTGAGATTACAGGATGTGCCACTATGCCCAAACAAAACATATTTTTAAATATATTGGGCTGAGGGCATAGCTCGAAGTGGTAGAGAGCTTGCTTGCCTAGAATGCTTGAGGCCCTGGGTTCAATCCACAATACTGCAAATATATATATTTCGTATAATATATACTTATATATTTATAATGTATGGGTGTATGGGTGTTAGAAATGCTAAAGTAGCAGCCAGAAAAACAGCTAAAAGAGATAAAAGTGACTGCCTATTGGAAGCAAAATTGGGTGTGAGGAGAGGTGATATGGGAGGGGGGTGTTTTTCTTTAAAACCTTTCAATCCCCCACCTTCAGGGGATAGGGCCTTGCCTGTGCTAGGCCAGAGATCTGTCTCTAAGCTACATCCCCAGATCTTTTTTTTTAATTTTATTTTAAGACCAGGTCTCACTAAGTTGCTCAGGCTGGACTTGTACTGGGGATATTCCTGCATCAGCCTTCCGAGTAGCTGAGAGGCATGCTCCACCACATAATCTCAAAATGTGTTTGAGTAATTTTGACAAAATATCTCAGGATTGGTACACATCCAAGTCCCACTTCCAACCACCGCTATTTCCTAAAAATTGTGGCTAATCTTTTCAAAGATGACTCTTCTGTTTTGCAATATTCTGTACTGTAAGAAAAAAAAAATCAGATCCAATTATTTTTAATACACTCTACTCAATTAGACAAGAATGCACGCTAACATATTTTAGAAAGATTTTTCTTCATAAAATGAAAAGAAAAAGATTGTGAACCAGGAAATTAGCCAAACATTCTTCCTGGTTGGTTAGTAGACTTGGTTAATAAGCCTCAGATGAAAAATACTCATTCCAACTAACTACTGTGGAGTAATGGTTTTAAGTTCATAGCAAATCATGTTCAAAATGCCAAGGGACTCCTCTATCCATATGACTCTTGGAGTAGGGAATATGAAGGCTTGAACCACTTCAAAATAGACAATATAATCTTGCATCTTAATGATAATTTAAATGTTAATAGATTTAATTAATACAAATATCATGGCTGACAGAAAAACACTTTCAGAAGGATATTTCTATGGAAGAATATGTTTGACACGTGGTACAGATTTAGCAGAGTTGTTGGGTGGGTGGTTAACATTTTTATTAATTAAATCTTTTGCAATAGAAAGAACAAAGGTATCTACTGTGTAAAATTTGATCCAGTTTCTAAAATATTACATAAATCAAATAAATGAAAGGTAACCTAAAGAAAGAAAAAAATCCTGTTACTTTGAGAGAATATTCTCAACACAGTTAATTGGAATAGCGTATTAATAGTCATATTTTAATTTGTTGGGACAACATTAACATGTTACTACTAATTCAATTAATTGGTTGATTTTAACTCATTAATAAGCTGTAATCAGTTATTATTATTTCATTCAACAATGATGATTGAATATCTATATGCTGGCATTATGGCAAAGTCTGGTAATACAATCGTACCCAGGACAAACATGATCCCTACCATGTGGAGTCTAGTGGGGAAGACAGATATCAAACAAGAAATTAAAAAGAAACATAATCAGTATTCTCTGGGGGAGAGGTAGAGGACTGCCTTATAAGCGTGTAGCAAAGGCTCTAATCATCTCACTAAGAATCTGTACCACAGCCCTAACAGCTTCCTCTAGCCACCCCTTTCATCAGGGTTAAAAATCCCAGGGTAAATACTAAGTCCCTGGGGATTTGGGTGGCATCATATTCTAAAACAGGGTTGTCACAGCCAATATGGGATCCATCTACCAGCCACTGTTTCCATCAGTGATTCAGTTTATGTTGACTTATTTTCCAGAGAAACCTTAGTAAGCTTTGCAGACCAAAGAAATGCTGAGTGGAGACATGTAGCAGAATTTTTGAAGTGGGATCACTTTATAGATGGCTCTTCAGACAGATATTAGGGTCTAAGATGATCCTGCTCCTAACCTGAATATACATACAAAAATTGTAACCCCAAGTAATTCAAGAGGGATTGTTAAACTAATTCTGAAGTACCTACCTTACCTCCAATCTTTTAAATTCGATAGTGGGGGGAGAACCAACTAAGCAAGCTGAGATTCTCGCTAAACCAAGCTTGTGTTTATCTCATGAGCCAGGTTGTCATCATATTCTAAAATATGGATTTTGTTTATTTCAGAATGTCCTCATTGTTGAGGTAAGCTGCCTTTTCTTTTTCCGTGTTTGGGAGTTGCATGGATCCAAGGGTGAGTTTTAAAATGTACGACTTGTTATCAAATTGGCCAAGGATTTATGGAGTCCTCACTGTGTGCGGTGGTTCTCCAAATTTATCAAATCGGAGCCAACTGTGATCACTAGCTTCAAATAATTTCTAGAATCAAAGCTCTGCAATAATAGCTGTGTGGTACTTTATCCTGTTTTATATCCAATTTCATGCATGACTAAATTGGTTCTTATACCTATTTGTGAATCAGACAGTTGTAGAGAAGAGTAAATTAGCACTCAGAATCAAATTTATTTAACAGTAAAATTAAGGTTAGAACTCTCTTTACCCTTAATTCAGGATTCTGGCTTATGTCCTCTAATGATTCCCATCAATTTTCAAGTACTTGGAGCCTCAAAATCGTAAATAAAACCAATTAAAAATGGTAATCGAAGGGAAAACTATGACCTTTTAAATTAGTCTTTTTCTGTTAAAAATAAAAGGGGAAAAAAAAAGTGAGTCTCTGGTAGCAGTGGACTAATACAGCAAATGGCCATGTTTCCTTCAGGAGCACGCCTGCCTTATCAGTTGGCAAAAATTCAGGGGAGCTGTTCTTGGGCTTTTGTTCCACAATTGCCTGCCTGTGCCTTCTGGATCCGCAGTTCTGGCTCCACACAACCCATGGAGTGGACCCTCCAGCCAAACGCATTGCCCACCCCTGGCTAAATTCAGACCTGTTATATAGATAATCAGCTCCTGACAGCTGATTTCTGTCCCAAGGACAATAAATTGCTGCAGCCCATTCTACTCTAATTGTGCAGCAGCAGCTCATCAGCAGAGATGAGCCTGGGCTCACTGCAACCTCAGACCCTCAAAACTCACAGGCTGTCACCAGCTGCTACCCAGACACATCTCACTTCCCAGCCAGAGAATCCCCTAGTGAGTCGGGAAGACAAGGAGGGGGTGGCTTATCCATTCAGTGTATTCAGATGTACATCCCATATCCATGAAAATTCATGTGTCATGTATTGTGTTACATAACCTCAGGGCCAAATTTAGTCCTTGAATGTGCATGCATGAGTCCCAGTGTACTCAATGAGGAGAAGCTGCACATGGTCTCAAAAGGCCAAATTTAGCCCTTCAACACAGTTCAAGGATGCAAGGAAGTATTCACCAGTATGTGCCCCAAAACTCAGCTTCCAGAAAGAAGTAACTAAGAAAACAGAACCAACTCTGCTTCCTTGATTCCAGTCAGATAGTATTTGTCCTTATGATGCACTGTTAACAAGGAAAAATCTCTCCAGGTGAGAAAGCTATTATGCTGCTCAAATGCACTTTACCAAACTTGTCTGTCCTTTTGCTAAGGATGTTGTTGGAACTGGGAGGACCATGAAAGCCCTGCTCACCAGCATAAAGAAATACAAGCCCAACATGATTAAGGTAGCCAGGTGAGTAAGACATTCACAGCATGCTGATTTCTCTTCTTCCAAACAAGCCCAGGAGGGATCCTCACACAGGATGGCTATTCCCCAAAAGTGTTTCTAGTCCTAATCACTGGCCCTTCATCCCAGAGCGTTATGATTTGATCATACTGAAAAATAGCCCATTTGATTGCTACCCTGAGAGAGGAAAGAGGAAATGATGTGCTTTGCTGTGTTTCTGAGCCCCTCTTGACTGTGCCTCCATAAGCCATTTCCAGGAGCGGCTGGATAAGCCCCCATGCAATTGCTGGGCTCTCTTCCTTTTATCCTGAACCATTGATGTAGTGCCACAGCAGCAAGGGCAGGAATAAATAAAAGGGTTGTGATGATGCTTCACAGGCTCAAGGGAAAAAATACATACTTCAATGATGTTTAATTCTATCTGCAATTCACTGTTGAAATCACTGAAGCAATTTTTTGTTTTGTTTTGTTTTAATGACAGTTTGTTGGTAAAGAGAACACCTAGAAGTGATGGCTTTAGACCTGACTGTAAGTGGTTTTTGGTTTGGGGGATTTTTTGGTATATTTTTGTTTTGTTTTGTTTTGTTTTGGTGGAAGTGCTTTGTTTTGTGCTTAATAGTTATTGATTTCCCATTTTCTGGCAGTCTAAAGTGGAAGATATTGTAGGACTGATAATCCCACAAATTTCTTGTCTTCTCTACCTTACAGAGATTAGGACCCTTTCAAATGGAAGGTATTAAATTTCATTTGCATCTTTCACAGGAATTTCAGGGCATTGGATATTGTTGTTTTGGGTTTATGCAGCGCCTTAACTTCAAAGAACTCAGCTGATCAGTTTCAGGGGAGAGGAACAGTTATGGAGCTGGGCTATTTCAGACACTGGCTGCTATACCTATCAGTCACAGAGGCACGGAAAGAGTTTAGAAGGATCCTCATACCACCTTCAGAAACTATTAACAGACAATGCACAATGGTGACCTTCAGCTAGTCTGAATTTTAGCACACAGAAGGCGGAATGTACGACCTCTCCCCACCACCAAAGAGAAAAAGCAGAGCAGATAACCTCTAGGTAACATCTTCATCCTTTCAGACGTGTATTCTACAGGGCTTTCCTCATCGAGGCCACTTTCCCCTCCCCACATGTTAGGACCATAAACAAGCAGCCAGATTATTTATTATTCTAACACTAGAGGCAACTTTTTTTTTCACTTGCATAAGGAAGAATTCAGCTTGATTTTTATAACTTACATTTGTTCTGAAGTCCCTGGATAATTTGGCTACAATTCTCATCAGCAAGCTGAACAAACATTAGAGACAGGCACCGTATGGATGGGTCATGTACCAGTGATTCTTTATTCTAAAAACAAGTCTCATTCCTCTGCTAGATGTACTGACTCTAGACCTTGTCAGTTCTGCACAGACAGATTCAATCACATGTTCCTATTGGTTCCTGGCTTCAGAAATCTAATCTGTATGTCCTAAGTTACCAAACAGAAATTTTATAAGGAAATCATATAAGATTTAGGTAAGATTTGAAATGAAGTTGAAAAACATTCATTTCAGACATACTCAATTAATTCCAAATTTATTGTCTGTGTCACTTATAACAACAACATACATAAAGTAATGACACCTAATACTTGAAAAAGGTGGTGGTGTGCCAGATACTGTTCAGGGAGCTACACAGATAATTTGTGTCATTCTTACAACAGCCCTCTAAAGGCAGCTGCTATTGTTATACCCATTTAACAGGTGACAAAATGGAACACAGTGATGTTAAATAGCTCGACAAGGCCATAGCCACACTGTAGGGCCAAGATTGAACCCAGACAATCTGTTTTCCGTAATGGCAATTGCAGATTTAAGTGTAGGAGCTGCACTCCTTTGCCATTGAGTGATGGGGCACTTTGATTCCTGACTGTCCTCCTATCCATCCTCTTCCTTTTGTTCCATGACATGTTAGGGTTCAGCCATCTAAACTGGCTTTGTGCTCTGATTTTCCCAGTCTGAGCGGCCACGCCTATTGTAGGGGCTGCATTGCTCCCTGTGAAGTCATTGTTATTGTTACCCACAGGGTTTCCTGGGATCTGCTCACATTTTTTCAGTCAGCTCAGAATCTCTGTTTCTTCTTTCTTTCTGGATTGCTGAGGCTTTGCACTTTTTGTTCCTTTCTCGTGGACTCTTTCTTACTTGCGCAATGTAACCTCTGACATCTTTTCTTCTGCTCTTTATTTTTCTCCTCTTTATTCTTCTTAAGAAACTCTGCAATTTGGAGGAATTAGACAGGGTCCCTGACAGTGGTCTCACAATTCATTCCCCTAGAAAACCCACCTCTGGCACATTCTGTAAATAGGAGCCAGTTGGGGTCTGCACATGAGAGTGTCTTTGGTCATAGAGATGGAAATGGTGGGGCATAATCAGCAGGAAGATAACTCTGTGCTGTAAGCCCATCAGCAGTACCAAAGGACAGTTTCATAAAAGTACGCAAGCACATTTCTCCTCTGTTACACTGTAATCATCAAACTTATAAGATTCTAAAACACTGAAAAAGTTTGAAAAATCATTAGACCTAGGCACATTTATTCTCTCAGGTGTGGACCTCTGAAGAAGGAGAGCTCTTGTCTGTTTCTTAAGGGACCCCTTCAATTAAAAAAATATCACCTTCCTTTCAGTAAAGTCTTCTTTTACTCACCGTAGGTACCTTGTGCTGCATTTAAATCCATTTCCTCTTATTCCACCCTCATTAGAGATAAAGAGCTAATTAGTAACCTCTGCATTGTGGACTCAAAGACCAGCATTAAAATAAACCTGAGCATTCTCTTCCTCAAGCTGAACGATCCCATTTCTTTTCATCTTGTCCCCCAGGTTTTACTCCCCAGCCCAGGACACTGATTCTGTAGGAATATTGCTTCTCAGTTGCTGAGATCTGCGTACCTGTTCATGTTTGTAATGCTATGATACTTTCTGTTTGAACTGCCCTTAATGCTTTTCAGAGAATTTCCTTTGGTATTATGTCATTACATACTGCCTGCACGTGAACAATAGGGCCTCATGACTAACTCACACACACTCCTTATCTTCTGAGCCTCTTGAGCCCTTCCTCAACTCTGTGCACTGGGAGTCCAGTCATGTATGTTTGCTTATTTGCCTTGTTTCTGCAAGTAGTCATTCCGGTCAAGGTCCCTATTGGGCTTGTCGTGTGCATTGCTCACCATGAGTCTTTCTTATTTCCATCCAAATGCAAAGTCTTCACTGTTTTAAGTGCCAAAAACAGCATATGGTGACATTAGACTTAACGTACTCTGAATTATGCTTTTTTTTTTCTCTCTCTCTCTCTTTCTTTCTGCTAAGATGCTGGATTTGAGATTCCAAACTTATTTGTGGTGGGATATGCCTTAGATTACAATGAATACTTCAGAGATCTGAATGTAAGTCTTGCATGTTAACCCTAATTCCCCTTTTCATAAGAATTTAACAGTGACATCAATTTAACAAATCTTTTAAATAGTAATACTAATAACCATTATTCAGTGGGTCTCTTCTGTGTCTGGATATATTGGGCAATTTTCATCTGTACTCCCAATTAATTCCTACCACCACCCTGTAAGATTGGGATTAGGATGATGGAAGCAAATGATGATTATCTCTATTTTGTACTAAAGAAATAGGAAGCAAAAAGCACAATTATGGCTCCACATTGATTTTTCTTCAGAGTTATTGACCATGTCCAATCAATCATAATGATAGCTAATATTCTCTAAAGTGGTTCATGTCAGTACTTGAAGTCTAACAGGTTCCAATTACAGTGGCATCCAGCTTGTTACCATTCCCCCTTTTGGGATTCAACATACAGACACCAACCCCCAGTGTGGGCCGAGCTGTGTGACCCTGATCAATCCTGAATGATGTCGAAGTAGACATTTTACCAAAAGTGGAGCAATCAGCATCTTACTCCTGGAAATTAGAAACTTAAATCAAAAGTCACAGAGACCTAGAGTCTTTGGACATAAGCCACTATAATATCAGCCCCAGAGAGCACCCACAAGCAGCATGGGCCAGTCTCCGACACCCTTGTTCCTGCCTTTCACCTGTTTTATTGCTCAGCTCTTTCTTTGATTGTATTGGCATCCTACCAATAACCGTCCCCCCATTTTTTTGCCTACATTAGCCCTACTCCATTTCTGTTATTTGCAATAAAAATATTCCTTACACATGTCTTGTTACCCAAAAATGGTTGATTAGGAATCCATGATATGGGGCTGGGGATATAGCTCAGTTGGTAGAGTGCTTGCCTCACATGCACAAGGTTCTGGGTTCAATCCCCAGCACCACAAAAGAAAAAAGAAAAAAAAAATCCATAGTTTATTTCCACTGTTATTTCTTTGGTTACCCAAGTAGCTATAATTTTACTAGTAGAAGATTTCTGTTTCCACCAGGGATAAATATGCTGGACTCTTAGTGTTTCTAGTTTTGGGGACCTGGGAAACCAAATTCAAAATAGGGTTAAGAACTAAAACAACAAAGAAGTCAGACAGAGCAGCACACACCTGTAATCCCAGCAACTCAGGAGACTGAGGCAGGAGGAGGATCACACATTTGAAGCCAGCCTCATAATTTAGCAAGAGCCTGTCTCTGGCACCTGGGGTTGAGGCTCAGTGGTAGAGCACTTGCCTTGCACATGTGAGGCACTGGGTTTGATCCTCAGCACCATAAAATTAAATAAGTAAAATAAGGGTTTTGTGTCCATCTACAACCAAAAAGAAAAAGAACCTCTCTCTGTATAAAACATAAAATGGACTGGGATGTGGCTCAATGGTAAAGTATCTCAGGTTCACTCTCCAATACCAAATAATAATAAAACAACAAAAAAACCTTTTACCAAGCATTTAAATGGGTATCTTTAGATTTTTCGCACATCCAAATACACACATACGTGTTTAAATGAGCAAAAACCAATACAAGGTAGCATTCTATTATTGCTACATCATATTTTCTGTGCCTTGTATTTTGTTAAGAAACTGATACATGTAAATCCCTTATTGTTTCAGCACATCTGCGTGATCAATGAACACGGTAAAGAAAAATATCGAGTCTGAAGAAGCAAATTCTTACCATCGACTTCCCAGATAACATCATTCTTACTACTATACTACACTCAGGAAGCCAGCCTGTAAAATCTGTCTCCCCAGGGGCGACTTCACGCAACAGGATGTAAAAGAAAAAAAAACGTTTTAAGTGAAAGCTTTCTTTTCTGAGATATAAAGAGTACTAAAGGTTCTTAAGGAAAAGAAAGCAGTGCTTTTATTTGACTTGTTCCAAATTCAACACTCCACCTTATGACTCATAAGTTCTCTCCACCTTCACACTCCTGAGTTACACCTTCTTTTGTTTTGATAATCATTATGTTTGACTACCATTCCCAGGAATACCCCCACTTAGTTACTCATATATTTTTCACCTAACTTTTTTTAATACCTTCATTTTGTAATATTTTATGCTATTAACTGGGAAACCTTTTAAAGTAAGTCCTGAGCTGACATACTAGGAATGCAGCTAGATTCCCATGCTAAAAAAGGGAGGGAAAGGATAACTTAGTATAAATTCCTGTTTGCGCCTCTCTGACAGGACATCATTATCTGCTGTGACAAAGCCTTTCAGAAAAGCAGGGTACGATGAATCTTAATGATGTTATGAAATGAGCCTTTGCTTAGTGCTCTTGATCGGAGCTTCCGGTATGTGATGACAGTGTGTCGTGTATGCATGGATGTACTCAACTGTGTTTAATACTCTGAATTTTAATTAGAAAAGACACAATGGCAGCAAGGCCCTGGTTCCTACCCTGTACCCTTTCATTCACGTGGGACCTGAGCAAATGGCAGAATTGAGTAGGGAGTGTTTTCAATGCATGAAACTAAGCAAGTATAAATTTTTCCTGTTATTTGCATCAAAGGCCAAGACACTATTAAGTATTGTCTGAAACATGAACACAGAGATTGAATTATTTCCTTAAGTGTCCTTATAAGACCAATGGCACAATCCGAGGTGCTACGGGAAACAAGCTTACCTACAAAAGATTTTTTTTTAACCAAATAAACACTTTATTATTATTATTATCACTGCTGTCTGAGACATTTTCTAATTTATGGGAATTTTAATTCGAAATAAATTTGAATGCCAATAGAGCTGTTTTTCCTTACTTCCTAAAAGAAGTAAATGCAAAAAATAAATAAGCAGCCTTTGTTTGGTTCTGAACCAAATGTGATGTATTGTTATTAGGTTCCAGCTTCCTTTAAACTAATAAAACAAATAAGAAAACTTGTTATGTTTTATAACTGCTAACTGTTTTTTCTTCCACCTTCATATTTTCTATGTACTTTTAGCTATTAAAATATGTATGAGCCAGTAGCTTCAATACACCACTGCAGATACTATCCTGTGGCTATTTTTGTTCACCTGGTTTAAATCCAATGTATGCACTACTAATATAAGCAAATGATTGAGCCAGGCTAGATTTGATAAGCCTCCCCTTGCCCTGGGCTCATTTGTAAGAACAAGGAATTTTAGTTGTAAAGGATTTTTCTGCATATCTTCATTTCAGTCCAAGAAGAAAACAAACCACACCCAGATATCTCAAGAGAGGGAATCAGCAAAGGGAATTCCTCTCTAGTTTTGCTCCATAGAAGGATCGGTACCCAAGTTACAGATTAATAATTGTGTATAGCTAGCCAATTTCTTGAAATATCAGAATTAATATTCTAAACATAATTTTAGACCATGCCACATTTTATTGGAAGACCTAGAAAAATCCAGACACGCATATGATCTTAAATACAAATCATCTATACATTATAGAGTACAAAAATATTTTCTTAAAAATCTTGAATTTTACCAGATACGGTGGCACACACCTGTAATTCCAGTGACTTGAGAAGGCTGAGACAGGAAGGATCACAAGTTCAAGGCCAGTCTTGGCAATTTAGGTAGTCCCTTTCTCAAAAATAAAAAGGGATGGGGATATAACTTAGGGATAAAGTACCTCTGGGTTCAATCTGCAGTACCAAAAAAAAAAAAATCAAAAAAATATATGTACACACACATTGAATTCAATGTATATGAGTACACTTATTAATCTAGTGTTCCAAAGCATTTAGCTTTGAAATAACTAACTAGCCCTTTGTTTTTTATTTCTGTTTTCTTTAGCCTTTTTCTGTCCATAAAACCATTTTCCTCTGCTTGCCCCATAGGATACTTATTCAGTTTTATGGAATGAAATATTGATTGATTTTAGAATCACAAAGCCAATTAAGATCTTTAAACTAAAATTGGTTGTAATTTTTGCCTTTTTACAAGACACAAATTACTAAAATTAGGAATGAGAGAGTTGGCATTACTACAGGTTATACAGATACTAATTGGATAATAAGAATATGATTAACAATTTTATGCCTATAAATTTGATAACTTAGATGAAATAGACTTATCTTGAAAGGCTTAAACTCCCAAAGCACAATCAAAAAGAAACATAAAACCCCAAACAGCTCAGTAGGTATTAAAGAAATTTTAATTTAATTCTAGAGAAAACCTTTATGTCTAGAGAATTTTTCTGATAAATTCTACCAAGCATTAAAGAGAAAATAATATCAATTATACACAAACTCTTCTGGAAAAATTTTCAAGGAAGGAATGCTCTTCATTCTATGAGGTCAATATTATCTTGACAAAATAAAAACCAGACAAAATATTATAAGGAAAGCAAATTATAGATGAAAATTCCTCATGAACATAGATGCAAAATTTTCTCAACAAAGCATCAGTAAGTTCAATCAATAATGTATAAAAAGAATAGCATCATGATCCAAGTAGGATTTATCCTAAGATTATAAGATTGATTTAACATTCAAAAATCAATATAATCCATCATTAATAAGCTAAAAAAGGAAAACCTTATGATCATTTAAACAGATATAAAAAATAACTTTGCCAAAATTAACATCAATACCTGATTAAATCTTTCAGTAAATTAGGAAAAGACTGTCATCAACCTGATAAATGATATCTCTAAATGTTTGTTGATTGAAATGGAGCTAATAAAGTTATTTTGTTCTGTTGACCTAATTTGACTTTCTAGAGTACCAGCATTAGTTCCAGGAATAACAAATTTTAAAATGCAGAGGATAAGAGAGAGCAGAAAATTGCAAAGAAGAAAGTAAAATGTGGGCCCTAAAAAAAAAGAATAAAGGAACTTGACAGGAGATCTAAGGCTAAGGTAGAGATTTAGGCAATTGGGGTTCAGTTGAAATGCTAGGAGGAATAGGGCCTCACCTCCATTCTTTTTTTTTTTTAATTGTATTTTAGTTATAGATAGACATAATGTCTTTATTTATTTATTTTTATGTGGTGCTGAGGACTGAACCCGGTGCCTCACCCGTTGTAAGGCAAACATTCTACCACTGAGCTACAGCCCCAGTCCCTGTACCTTCATTCTTGAGAATCAATTCCAACGTTCCTGATCTCCCTCGAAAGGGGAAGCCAAACTTGGATTTATTTCACTATAAACAGGATATTTTTCTCAATTCTCTGGTCAGACACTAAAGCAGGAGGATCACAAGTTCAAAGCCAGCCCAGCAACTTTGGGAGGCCCTGAGCAACTTAGTGAGACTCTATTTCAAAATTTAAAAAAATACAAAGGGCTGGGGATGTGGCTCGGTGATTAAGCACCCCTGGATTCAATCCTGGTACTATTACTAATAATAATAATAGGGGTCTGGGGTATAGCTCAGTAGTAGAGCACTTGTCTGGCATGTGCAGGGCCCTTCCTGGCTTTCATCCTCAGCGCTGAAAAAAAAAAAAATTCCTCTAAAATGTGCCTTGGGGTTCAGAGAAGGAGCGCAAGGACAGAAGTCATGGTTTCACTTTCATGTCCTTTCAATTATGTTAAGCTAGTAAAACTTTCGTGAGCAAGGGTCAAAGGCGATTTTTCCTGGTATTTAAAATATATATGCTGATGAACTTCTCTTTGTACATATATATTGATAGAGTTATCCTTCGGATTATCAAAAACAAAATGTCTCTCAAGACATTTTAGATTTATTGTCCCTAACGTAGTTCTGGTTTTTATTGCATACTGTATATGTAATCACTATTCAATTACATAGCATCTAGTTTCAATATCTTCAAGTCTATGGCTTAAATAGCATTCTGAATACTTGAATTCTGTTGTTTGCAAAAATCTACATTTCCCCATTTAATAACATTGTTTATCACACATACCACAAAGTGCTTTATGCTTTAATTAACAGAGCTGCTAAACTTTGCTCAACTGTAGTTGCACCCTATGACTCATAAGCTTTTTCTTTTTTCTTTTAAAAATTTGGTTCAACAACATCTGGAAGCTTATATAAGGAGAGATGGTATTCTTTACAATCAGTGATTTTTTCGGGACAACATGTTTCTGCAATTGGCAAGCTTTCATTTTTCTCTGAGTTGTTGCTCTTTTCATGTAGTCTAACATTGGCAACTTAAATTTTCCCTAAAGATTAACACATGCAAGGACTTGGTCAAATACTGTAAACTTTTGCAATGATTGATTCCTAAATCTCTTCTATTAATTTATTCTGAGTTGGTCCGACCTTGAAAAACGAAAACTAGAAATAATTGGGAAGGAGTTAGAAGAAACAAAAATATCAGTGTTACATACTTTACGTGCAAGATATTTCTTTTAGAGGAACTTACATCATGAAATTTTTGTGGTCTCTTTGATAATCACTAAAAAGAAGATAATGATCGGATTTTGCAAAATGTATCTCTAGATTCTATCAACTGTTTTTTTTTTCCTACCTAGATGTTTTTTCACATCCTTTCTGACTCAGAGTCTTTCAAACAGAGATAAATTGCACATGATATGTGCACTACTGTATGGTCTCAAAACGTGTCCCTTGAAATTCTAATGTTCTTGCTTTTGTGTCTTACTATGCTTTGATTTGGAAGTAGGGAAGTAAGCCTGCTATCCAAAAAGGGGAATTACATACTCTTAGAGATCTTTTAAAAATATCCCACTGTTGTTTCTTCAGGTAGAAAAGTAGCTCAAGTATTCTCCATGTGTCTGCATTTCCCTTTTGCTGGGGAAAAAAAAATACTTTAGGAAATAACAAATACACTGTGATCAGACTGAGCTAACAAAGAGACAAATAATTGGTCCTTGATACTTAAAATGATGAAAATTCATTTTAGCAAAAAAGTGTTCACATCCCATACAGGATGATCATCAATCATTAATACTGATTATAAATAAGGTATTCAACAAAAGATGTTTTATGCTTATCTCTACCTGGGAGTATTTTAGCCTCCTACAAAGTGTATGGGTCACTTAATATCCAGTGGTCTAAAGTGTTTTAATAAATGTAATATTTCTACATCCTCATTCAATCTTTTTTTCCATCATGTTTCATTAAAGACTAAATTGTTTTGACAAGTCCAAAAGGAAAGCAGTTTGGGTTTAAAATAATTCATCTTGTTTTGAAGGGAAACTAGTCCATACGCTTGAGATGCTTCCAGCAAAAATTCTTTGAGGTCTCGGCATAGTTTCAAGCACTGGTAATTTTTCAAAGCGTTACCAGTGTCTGTCCTCCCTCATATCCATCCCTAAGTGAGACATTAAATACCTAGGTCTTATCTGGGCAACACAGTATCCCAGTTTAAGAAATTACTATTTGTGGCCAACAATTATATTAAAAAATATTCAACATCGTTAGTAATTAGGGAAATGCAAATCGAAACTACACTGAGATTTCATCTCACACCAGTTAGAATGGCAGTTATCAAGAATACAAATAATAATAAATGCTGGAGAGGATGTGGAGAAAAAGGAACACTTTTACACTGTTGGTGAGATGGTATATTTGTAAAACCACTACAGAAATCAGTATGTAGGTTCCTCAACAGACTAGGCATGGAACCACCATATGACCCACGTATACCATTCCTCAGTATTTCTCCTAAAGAATTAAAGTCATCATACTCCAGTAATATATGCATACACATGTTTATAGTAGCACCATTCACAATAGCCAACCTATAGTACCAGCCTAGATGTTCATCAATAGATGCATGGATAAAGAAAACATGGCACATGTGAGCAATGGAGTTTTATTCAACCATAAAGAAAAATGAAAATATGTCATTTGCAGGAAAATGAATGGAACTAGAGACCAACATATTAAGCTCAATAAGTCAAACTCAGAAGGTCAAGTGTATGTTTTCTCTCATATGTGGAAGCTAGAGAGGAAAGAGGAAAAGAAAGTTGGGTGTCGATCTCATGCAAGTCAAAGGGAGATCAGTAGGGGAAAGGGAACCAGGGGTGAGAGGCAGGGAGGGAGGGGAGAAGTGCTGGGAAGTGATATTGGCCAAATTATATTCCTGTATTGTGTGCATG